GGGAAAGAGGTAAAAACAAGAAAGAAAAGATACAACTGACAGAGTGATTAAGGATTTCTCTGCAGACAACTGCACACAGATGCATGTCCACGTTGCTAAGACAGTACTTTTACAGATGGGAACCAGCTTGTATTTGGGGAGACTGGCGAAAACATGAAGAAAGTACAACACTTGCGTATAATCCGTCAGCATGTTGAGGCATGCTCTAATAGGAACCATAGGGTGGATAAGATTGGAAGGGATCGCTGGAATTTGTCTGGCCTAACCAAGAAGCAAGGGTATCTCCTTACATAGATGTTCTCAGTTATGTTTCTGCCATCAGGCATCTCTGGTAACTCTTGGGAAAGCAGGCCAGATCAGGAACTTTGCCCAAGTCAGCTTGCTTTCGTTCTTAAAAAAATAAAATTTTCAAAGGCCATCAGAATACTCCAGCATTTCAGCAGACATTGTTAGCTGCCCTGGTAGGATGGTGAGACTGTTGCAGACTAGGAAAACTAATGATCCCACAGATTTAGGGTACAGTCAGGCAGCTTCAGTGTCTGCATATTCGTGATAGGTCCCAGAGGGAATGAGCCAGGGTAAGAAGGGAAAGGGAGCTGCTCCTTGGGAAGAGATGAGCCAGCTGCGCCTGTGTATACAAAGCACTGATGCTTCTGACAGCTCTCTACTGTAGATGATGAAGAAAAGCAGCATTACAGAAGAACTGGTGTGAACACCAGCACTCACAGCATTCACAGACGTAAGCTCCTACCTAGTCATGCAGTTAGAAGCAACTGCTCAAAGAATGGATAGGCAAGAAAGGGAAATACAAGCACTACAGTGCCAGCCTAGGCAGTGATGGTCAGCACAAGAGCAAACAGCTCCATCAGGGATGGTAACAAGGCTCTCAGTCCAGCAAGGTCAAAACAAGGGAAGAACAAAGAACAGAAAGATCACAGTGAGCTGTGCTAAAATAGAGCTGACGTCAAGGAAGGATAGAGTCCAGGAAAGCAGAAGCTGAGACAGAACACAGCAATGGAGGCAGTGCAGGTGAGAAGGGCTGGGCCAGGAGAGTACACGAGGTACAGAAAGGAACATCGCTGTAGCACTGTGGAAAAGGAGGCAACCAAAGGCTGGCAGTGTTGGGAATCCCACCCTGCCTTAGAGGCAAGGCCAGGCAGGGGACTCTGCCAGGCAAGAAGGGCTGGTTTCTCATGGTGGTGTCCCCGTGGTAAACAGTAGGTTGTTGATTGCTCCTGAGGCAGCACCAAGGAACTGGTTATTTTCAGACGCTGCAGGACTCCCCTGGACGGGCAACAATATGATAGCAGTCTCTCCAGTAACAGCAGTGCTGACAGCATTAGGAAAGGATACTGTACAAACATACCCCCGACCACGCTACCTGGTGAGTGACCTTGCTTTCTCCTCAGTCCCCCATTTAATTTCTACCTCAGTCTTTCACAGCAGCAACTTGCACACAGGGTCCCTCCACAGGCCATGCTGATAGGGAAAACAAAGAAGAGCTCAGGCCTCAGGGAACGGGAGGAAGTGAGGGAGCAGCAATCTCCAGCAGCAAGGCTGTGGTGTCAAAGTAAGATGGCTCGCCTCTGCAGGAAGTCAAAACCTTCTGGAAGGCCATACAGAGCATTAGTCTCCTACAGATATGGATCAGTTGGTCTTGAGACAGTACCTGGGACTACATATCTCCCTCTGAGAACAGAGCTGAAGGGCACCTTACAGGCAGCAAGATGAATACTCTTTCTCAAAAGGTGCTATCTCCTGCACGAAGGCTGGTTGTTGCTGGAGCACTGGAGACGTCTGTCAGTTAGTCACAGGCCATCACGGGGGTGTGGAGTGTCTCCAGGGACAGGGCGTTAAATAGAGGACCCTCCTCTCCAGGAGGCCATGCCAGGGCAGGTTGGGCGATTCCAGATGAGCGCCGTCTCCCCTGGGAAAGTCAGCCCCTGCTGAGGGAAAGCCTCCCGAGGGGGCTTGCAGTCCACGGTTGGGAGCGGTAAATGGGTATTGGGGCTTCCCGTCTCTGCCTGCCTCTCCAAGCCAGCTGGGTCCCTGCGAGGTAGCAAAGCCACCACAGCTCGGCCGAGGATGCGGAGGCAGGCGGTGGGACAAGCGGAGGGGGGCCGGTGGGCGGCTGCACCGGCGCAACGCCGAGCCCGAAGCGAAGAACGGAGAGAGCGGCGCGCCAGACGTCGGGGTGTTCCAGCCCCCAGCTCCGCGGGGGA